ACCTATACTGTAACTATCTGTACTGAAAATTTTCCCGATAGCTTATAAACTCTCCCGAGTTTGAACCTTGTAGTCTTTAGCCACTGATAATTTGGGAACCTGGATGTGAAGCTACCACAAACCTACATCACTCGAAGAGGAAAGACCCAATAATCACCATTAAGCACATTAAGAGAAACCTTCAACACACCAAAGATTGGGATCAGAAAGATCCCAATCTTCCTGTCCATCAGGAAGAACTTGAACCTCCCATCATATCCAGGAAGCATCCATGCAGCCAAACTTGAATGTATTTGGGTCCATTTCAAAGTAATGTCTTGGTTTCCGAGTTAGAACCTGAGTAAGTCACACTGAAACAGGAAGACTCCTGTTCAACTCTGGAAACTCCTCTCATCAAGAGAAGGGTCACTGATGGAGTACAAAACTGTCAAATCCCAAGGAAAGGATAGAATGGGAGAAGAAGTGCTCACTATCGAGACTCGGCCCCCTCCCGAAGGAATGACCTCAAATCATCCCACAAACAAAATGGATGAACCCCATAGGGAGTGACTAGGCTCCAACAACTGCAACACCCACCAAGGAATCCTTATTCAGAGGATCTTACACCAATACTTCAGGAACCACATGCACCCCATTTCAAGGCCATTTAGGAAACCTTGTCAGAGGCATAGGCAAGGAGGAAACAAGTAAATGTAGGAAGAACAAACTAAACCCGTGTCATCGGAAAAGTCTGGATTTTAGCACAAGTCATATTATCAAAGCCTCAAGATCCTCCTCATTAAAAGTGAAGGCTCACTTCCTGCAGCACCAGCCGGTGATGTAGTTCCTCCATTCAAATTGGTCACATCAGACGCAAGCGTTCTGTTAGGCCTACTGGGGGACCAGAGCGAAAACTTGCCCTCCTCCCCCTCACAGAGAGCAAGTGACTACTTGCCACCACAATGGGAAAGCATCCAGAAAGTTAATGGAACTTTATAGACAATTGGAGGATTAACAAAGACCCAAGAATTGAAATTACCAAACAACTTTGCAAACAATTCACACAGAACAGGAAAACATTCAAAATTAGCATGGTACTCATAGTAACAAATGCCACCACCAGCTGGCCTGGTTTCTGCATTTAGCAATCTTCCCTACTCAATTCATTCGGTATTGTCCAGCTGGACAGTAGTGTTCCAGGTCTTATACAGCCCCGGTGGTTCCCTCTCTCCCTCCCTTCTTTCCTTCCATGTTTATCGGTTTGTGGAGGTGCTTTTCTGCTCCTAAACTGATATGATAGTTGATGCTGGACTGAATGCCGTGATGCCTTGTGGCAGCATTTGGTTATTTTAGGTTCTAGCAAGTTTTGAATGATTTCTTGTCATTTATTTTGTTATGCTTAGGGAATTACTTGGCATTCTATTGGTTTCTGAGTCTTGAGATGCTTTTTGTGATGTAAGCTTCACTGACATTCTGGATGCTTTCCCAGTTAAATGATGGAATGTCATTTGGTCTCTGTGCCTCATATGATGGGGCCAGGCCAAATGAACTCATGCAACTGATGTGACTGGTAGATTGAAGCAATTTCAGTGAGATAGCTACAGGAAACCAAGGGGCTGTACCAGAATAAGGCATTTCATTACATTCAATGCCGAGTTTTTACCATCATCAGTGTTTACACATATTACATATAATTATTTACATGTTTATGAACTGTTACGAGCAACTTTATTATTTTGGGAACAACAGTCCATTTTTGTGCATTTGACTAATAGTTGCTTTAGGTACAGTACTATAATTTTTGGAGGATGGAGTAATGTAAACATTCACTAGTTCACTTTCTCCCTGTTCACTGCTTTTAACCTTATGTTAAAAAAAAAGGAAATTAATTTAAAAGCTGAAAAACTTTATCCTGAGGTTATGCTAATTTTAAAACTATCTTGTGTAAATTCCCCATCATTAATTTGGAAAATTAGCTTTGTCCTCAGCTTACAACCAAGGGGTTAAGGGTTCGATTCTTGTGGCAGGACAGAAAAGGTTGGATACATTTCCTTTCATATGATGCCTCTGTTCACCTAGCAATAAATAGGTACCCGAGATTTAGGCAACTCTTGTGGCTTGCATCCTAGGAAAAGTCAGTGTCTGACCCAGGGGCACCTCATAATGTTAAGTGGAGGTCCCCGACAATTTAAAACTAAATCAAAAGTATTGTGCCATATTATTATTCTTCAATTAATAATCCAAACATCAACAGCCTTACCAAAAATATGTACAAATTTGGTTGACATATTACCTACATGTTTGGAGAAAAAGACATTTTGGACATACAGCTGAAATCAATAAGAGAATATGCACAATGCTTTCAGTTTTCTGGAAACTACTGACTGGTATTTGCTTAATGAAAGCAAAGTTTTTTATAAGCACATACACTAAGCATCCTTCGAGCTTATTCAATAAAAGTGTGTGAAAGGTATATGAACACGCTAAGGAATTCTCACAAAAGATAATCAACACTGTGAGCCATCTGGTACTGCTGCAAACATGCAGAAAGGCAGTAGGGAAGCATTTTACTAATTATTACCTCAACTGAATAATCACTGACAATAAAATACATATAGAGTACCTATGTCTACTGGAGCAGATTCTGAAACTACATTACAAACTGTATTACACATACTATAGGCTTAAATTTCTAACTTATCTATATAGAGTACACTGGAAAATTTAACCAAGGGCTCATTTGGAGAAGCTGCACAATAACCCCCATATTTAATTAAACAAATTATATTGGCATAATTATAAATTTGTCAACATATGCATTTATTCCATAGAGATTTTAAGTTCAAAGATCCAAATGTGTTGTATTTAAGATATTTAAGTACAGCAACGATATATGCATATGTTAGTGTATCTATATCTATACCCATGATGCTTTGTTTCCAATAGGAGTTCATTTTTCTTCAGAGGGTCATTTTCTGCAGTATCATCTGACATTTGAGATACCAGCAGGTATTTAAAACTATTGAAAGAACATCAGAAATATTTAATAGAATTCTAAATAGTGACTCGCTTACATGACAGTTGTGACTTGCTTGCAAATGTCAACATGAAGGACATCTGCAAATTATTTGCATAAACAAACAAAAAATGACAAAGAAGCAAGAACAGTCTCGGAGAATAGACAAGTGAAAAAAGAAGGAAAGAAAAAGTTAAAAGACAAAGGCACCATTAAGGAAAATGAATATACAGTATTTAATTATTCCAATTATGGATTTATTGCACATGGAAAAGCTGTGTTTGACGTATTTTACTTTGCACTTAAAAGCAAACAAAAATTGTATATAGAAATATATCCAAATATCTGGAAAGAATGTATACTGCACTCTGCAAACGTAGCCAAGAGAGTTGAATTGAAGCAACAGGAAAAGAGTAAGACACAATGGAAAATATGAGACATCAAGAAACAACATTAACTGAAAGAACAAAGTGGAGGTGAATAAAGTGTTGCAGAGCATCAAATGATACTGCAGTGAAGGCATATGCAAGGGAAAATAGTCAGAAATGGCAGAAAGAGGTTCTCTCATTAACACCGCCCAAGGTAGTGCTACCTTGGCCAACTTAAGCCAAATGACTGTTGAGATGTTGGCATTCTATAGGACATTTTCTGAAGGGAACGGTGTATGGCAACCTATGAACAGCGATGTGTATGGGAATCTATTGGGGTAGCTGTGTGAGGCAACCTCTGGACTGCTAAGTGTAGCAATCTCTGGGAGGAGCCGAGAGAGTTGACCTACTTTCACAGCTACTGACCGAGAGTTGTGTACGAGGGAGCTGTGAGATGACGTATACGAGGGAGCTGTGAGATGACGTATACGAGGGAGCTGTGAGATGACGTATACGAGGGAGCTGTGAGATGACGTATACGAGGGAGCTGTGAGATGACGTATACGAGGGAGCTGTGAGATGACGTATACGAGGGAGCTGCGAGATGACCTATACGAGGGAGCTGCGAGATGACCTATACGAGGGAGCTGCGAGATGACCTATACGAGGGAGCTGCGAGATGACCTATACGAGGGAGCTGCGAGATGACCTATACGAGGGAGCTGCGAGATGACCTATACGAGGGAGCTGCGAGATGACCTATACGAGGGAGCTGTGAGATGACCTATTTAGGATGCTGTGTAGTACCCTCATTGACAAGCTGATTGAGACAACCACTAGGAAGAGCAGTGTGGCAACTATTAAAAAAGTGAGTGCCCAGAGACACAAAGCATCAGAACTATAATAGTATTTATCAAAACTTTATAAGTTAAATTTTTATTGTCTATTCAAAGTTAACTAATTACATGTGACAAGATACAATAATATGGTTATTAGGTACAGTATAAGAATAGTAAACAACTACAGTTCTATAAATAAAAAACAATACATCTACCAAACTAAAAATTTGCAAATCTAAAATAATCATAAATTCACACCATAATTAATTCAATGAAAATTAAGGTTTCATTATGTGGAATACTTAATTATTTTCATATAAGCCATATCAAAATATATACAATGTGATGTTCGTGAATGAATTTCCATTTCTTGTGTGTACTTGAAAATGGCCTATCTTCATATTGCACCTAAATATTAAGTGTTATTGTACTGCAACATGATACAATAACTTTTGTACAAGGTACTCATATATAAACAGGTAAATTCTATCAAGTTCAGTTATCTTTAAAATGGGCAAGACAGCAATCAACTATAAAATTGTAATATATAATTTCAAATAAACATCTAGTTAATACATACTGTATCTGCCAATGACCACCACTCAAAATAACTTAATAAAACATATTATCTTGCAGTCACTGCACTACAGACTTCACAAATCTGAGAAATTGAAAACATGACTGGAAACTGTTTGATAATTTTCAAACAATGTTGCAACAGTCAATGTAAGCATTAGGAAAGAAAATGTGAAGCATCATACCACAATAATTATGTAAAGCAATTGAAAGCACACTTACCTGACAACATCAGTTCGATCCTCTTGGATGGCAACAGTGGTGACGTGCGTATGTGATGACCTCACTTGGAACCGAGGAGATGAGGTGCTGACCACTGTGCTACCAGATGCACCAGAAGTAGCATCCCATGGAGGTGGGGGAGTGGAGCTTAAAGGTGGATGGCTTGATGAGCTCCCTCCACCACTCACAGTAACTACACCTCGGCCACTACCTACGAGTCCCAGAAATAGCCAGATATTAGGGAACAAATTGCTACAGGCTGCTATAAAACCAGCGTTGAATGTAATGAAACGCCACTTTCTGGGGTGAAGCCTCGGAGGCTCCCTTAAGCTATCCGAACTGATGCGTGCTATATTAGTTTGGGTCATCAGTCACAGGAGTTCAGGAGTTTCTATGCCTTACAGGAACCATGAGCCAGAACCTGGCTCCCTCAGACAGGTGCAGGGGCAATGGCTTATGAGCACTTTACATTTAAAGTAGGTCATAATTGCCATTGACCAGGGAAGAACCCAGAAAGGTAGGGAAATCAAAATAGACCCCTGTCTGGTTAACCTGTGCAATCTACATCCCAAAAGATCAAAATAACTCCTCAAGAAAGAAACCAAACAAGCAGCCCTTCCTGCAACTAGCACTTCCACTCGTTAGTGCTACCCCTCTCCCATAGGGGAAGGAAAAGCTGGCAGCCCACCACTCAATTTCTTGAATGATGAAAAACCACCGACCGGAGGAAGGGAAAGTGTAAGGGAGCCTCAAGGACTCGCCCAGAAAATGATGTTTCATTACATTCAACACTGGTTTTCTGTAGGGGAGCCACGTCAGCTCCATGAAGCTAACTACCCAAAAATAAGTAAAACGAGGGACTTCCCCGGGAGGCAGCAGCACTGCAGGTTTCTAGACAAAGAACAGACATACGGCTGTGACAGGCTCCCCAAAGCCACACACGGCCAGGAAGAAACCGGAACATTCACCAGATGCTTGGTGGCTAGGACCACGTTCGACCTCCGAAACTCCCATGCCCGAATGTCTACCCAAGACATGTTCCAAAGCAGCTACAAGAGCAGCATATGAATGGCATGGATATGAGGGCAGACTGCAAGCTGGCTGGACTTGACACTGGACAACCTGAGACACATGAGCCCTGGAACAGGGAACAGGGAAACCGAAAGCATCCAAAGAGTGTCCACCGGCACCAAACCAGTGGCCCACAGCGTGGGCCACTGGTTTGGTGCAGGTGGCGTGGCATGGCCACCACCGGACACAACACGTGATGCGCCCCCAGCCTAACCAACCAAGCATCCACAACCACCTGACCCTCCGGAAGCCAACTGTCTCAATCTACACCAGCAAAGAAGAAGAAGGCAGCAAAGGAACATAACAACCATCTGGAACAAATGAACAGAACCTCTGGTGTCGGAAGATAGCATGAGGCTCCCCAACCTAACCCCCAGAGGTCAAGGACAACAAAAACAAGGCCTTCCAAAAGCAATCCCTAACCGAATGGGCCACAACAAAGCGAGGAGAAGAAAGGAAAGAAAAACACGAACTAAAGACCAAGAAAGCTCAGGCAGTGCATGAGCAGGACAGAGGTGAAAAAATGCTCATGAAAGCTTGTGGAACGAAGCAGAAGCCACATCCACCCGGAATGAAAGCTGGAACGGCTCCGCCAACGCCCCGCAATAACAACAGTACTGTATTAGGCATGAGATGCCGATCCAGAAAAAGCCCAAACAAACAGATCCAAAATCGACGAAAACCTTTGAAGAGAAAGAAAGTCTGCCAAGAAACTACATACCCTAGGGAAGAAGACAGCAGGTGGGACATCCTAAAAAAAACACCTGATCACCATATAAATGGCAATACACACACACACACACACATTAAAGAGACCAGATGCATGGTGCGGAGCAGTAAGGTGAACCAGTGAGGTGCCTCACTGGCCCGTTCTAATGGAAGAGGCGGAGCTGCGAATAAATGCTCGGGTTCAGACATGGAGCAAGCAGTACCTGAAACCAAGGCTAAGCCAGCCACTATGGAACCAGGAGAATCAATCCTGATAGGATTCCAAGCAAGCTAGGACCTGGAGCAACAGCTGGACCGGGAAAAAGAGGTACAGGAACCCCCAACCTCGACCAGTCCTGCCAAAAAGTGACAGCCTTGCAGTTGGGGATTAACGCCACATACAATGGAAGATTCCGAAACCAAGTCGACGCGAAGAGGTCCACCTCCGGGTATCCATATGTCCAGCAAAGCCAAAGGAAGGAGGCGCTGTCAACCGTCCACTCCGTGGAAAGAGGAATGAAGCACTATAGGCCGTCTGCCAGAGCATTGGACACTCCCTGTATGTGAACAGTGTTAAGAGTTAAACCTTGAAAACTCAGCAGAAGAGTTACCCCAAGTGACCAGCACCAAAAGAGCCATGGACCGAAGGACCCCCAGAAGTTGAGACAACGAACCTCGGGGAAGCAGTCTGAATGGAGTCTGATCACCAAGCCCCAAGAGAGCCAAATCCACCCCAACTCCTGCATCATGCTGTGAGCCCCGACTTAAGGACAGCCCCCAATGACCCTGGCCGGACTGGCCAGCACTGGTCACAAAGCCCCAACCGAGAGACGAGGCGACCATGAACACATCGAGCAAGGGAAGAGGAAAACGCCATGGCAACGAACCCCAAAAACTCAAAGATGAAGCTGGCGACAAAGCAACCAATGCCAGGACACTGGAGAACGAACCCAGCAATTGCAAGAGCGGCAAAACAAGCCACTCCGAAGATACCAGAACAGCCTGTAAGGCCAAACGCACCCCAGTGGATAAACCACCAGGGGAAAGTTCAGGCTCCCAAATGGCGATTGCTCAAGCAGCTGAGGGTCCAGGGTGCCCCTCAAAAACAGCTAACAGCAGGACCACAAGCTGAGCAAAGCCGCAGGAGGGAGAGAAATGGATGCAGTTTGAGAACCCAACACTAGGCCCACCTAAGCCTGAATCTGGGACGGAACAAACTGGGACTTCAGCCAAGTTATCAGGAACCCTAATCCTGCAAGCTGGGAAAGAATCAAAACCCCAGCAAGCAGATCAGCAGGGAGCCTACACCAACCAATTGTCAAGGCAGTCTACCAGCCAAGAAGAAACAGGAACCTTGAAACGCACCCGAGCAGTGTAAGAGGAACCAAACTCAAACAAAATCGGATCCAACACAGAGGCATAAATAGAGGTCTCGCAGGAGGAACACCACAAGGGCCTCCTGAACCCCTAAAAGGGGAAGCCGAGACGAAGCAAACCTTCAAAAAGATGAATTCGAGTAACCCTAGGGCAACTGGAAACGAACCTGTGGGGAGCCCTACCTACTGCATTTTTTGGTGGATAAAAATGCACAATGTTATTTTTTTTAATAAAAGGAGCCCCACGGCTAAAACAGTCGTAATACGGACAGGATACCAAGGGCCGTAAGCTTGGGAGCCAGACAAGCATACAGCACAAGGTCGCTAAGCAAAAAATCAGTGCCCATAATGAAATAGTGAAAACCAGCCAAGACCACAGTCGTGAACACAAGACTGTGTATTATTATCACACAAGAGGTAATAATATACAGAAGTATTCCAGTCTCATATACAAGACAAAATGGCCCCGTGAACATAAAACTTGGATAATAATACACAGAAGTACCCCAGTCTCGTACACAAGATGAGACTGCCCTGGGATCACACGAGCGGGAGACATTACCATCACCCACAAGTCCTCAGGGAATGGACAGGGTAGAAAAAGATGGATGAATCAATACTATTGGTACACCCATAACAGAACACAGGTGGTAACTGAGTACCTAAAGAAGCCACAGAAACATGAAAAAGAACTTGTCCTGAGACACAGTAGTAAGGAAAAGGAATGCAGGAGGCAGTGATGAGGTGAAGGCTGCAAACATAGAAACTAAGGAGCTGAAGAAGCTCAAGAATGTGCACACCAATAGAATGACGGGTGAGGGGCGGGCCCAAAGTGATGAAGCGCAACTCTCACAAGCACAACTAGAAGAGTACAAGGCAAGTGCAAACTTATCAAAACTGCAGACGACACCTCAGCAGTGATGAGGGAAATGCATTAGTCACGGCAACTTTAACTGCTTTAACTGCGGCAACTTTTAATACTTGCTAAAAATGTAAACAATGAAACCGCTGATCTGAGAGGAGAGAAGAGCAGGGGTACCAAAAACATCAAATAATAACGTGCAATAAATGTATGATGAACCAAATAAACCTAACAGCCACAGTGCGCCCAACCCAACCAATAACCCTCCCCTACCTGGGCCAAGACAGAAAGCCCTAGACTCCAGGCGTACCCCAAGGGCGAAAACAACAAGCGAAGAAGGCCTCAAACGGAGAGTGATTCCCGAATGCCCCAGTGAAGATAACCCTGACATGCAAGGGAAGTACTCACAGAGCACCTAGGGAAGGTCACCCTTAGCACATGCTGCTCTTGTATACTAAGACATCTGGCCACCACACCAACACACAGCTGGTACAGCCACACAGGGCAAAAATCCAGAACAAGAACTTGAGGCCAGAGGTGACTGAAGTGACCACCAGCACATCATTTAAAGAACTGGAGTGGTGGGCTGCTGGCTCCAGTGAGCTGGCTTCCCCTTCATAACGCTAACAAGCGTAAGTGCTAGTCACATGAAGGGTTGCTTGTTTGGTTTCTTTCTAGGAGAGTTATTTTGATCTTTTGGGATGTAGATTGCACAGGCTAACCAGACAGTGGTCTGTTTTGATTCACCTACCTTTCTGTGACCTTCCCTGGTCGATGGCAATTATGACATACTTTAAATGTAAAGTGCTCATAGGCCATTGCTCCCTGCGCCTCTCTGAGGGAACCAGGTTCTGGCTCGTGGTCCCTGGTAGGCATAAGGACTCCTGTGACTGATGACTCCAAACTAATATAGCACATATCAGTTCGGATAGCTTCAGGGAGCCGACGGGGCTCCCCACAGAAAATGCCGTCATAATGTTAGTCATGCATAACACAAATATGGATATTGGCATGCAAAAAGAAATAATTAATAAATTAAGAACTAAATTAGATTTCTGTAAGAAATGTTCTTTGCAAGACTGGGCTTGACTGATGCCAATCATCTTGTTGGGATATGTGGCATCTGTTTGAATCTTTTAATAGGCTTGGAGAGGACATGCAATGTATTTCAGGGCTTAAAGAAGAATTATGGCACAAGTCTGCATTGGCAGCCGTGCAAATTTGCACAGATAACAGATGCCCCGATGGAGGAGTATAGGAACATGAACTTGTGTGAGGAAACGATTCTCCGTAATAAGGAGAATCAGGGTTCCCAAATGGTGAACTGGATTGATCTTTAAGAGGAGAGGGAGACCTTGATCTTGTTAAATACATAGCAAGAGCATGTTCAATATATGCTTCCTCACTAGCTGATGGTCTATCTACCACAGAATATCTCTTACGGTTATCCTCATGCAATTGAAGAGTCTCTCTGCCTGCAAAAGACTTTCTTGTGAGAGGTAGTGTATTTTCACAAAAATGTCTAGTAACATCGGAGTCATTATAAGGTGTGAATTCTTGAGCTCCACCCCAATATTTTCTGCCCCATACCTCACTCTCTTGTGAAGAATCCATGGATGTAATATGTTTTTCTTGAGGTGAAGGGGACTTGAAAATTGCTCCTTTAGTATTTGTACCTGTTCTGGTTAATATATCATCAGGTAGCCTTGACAAGGATGACGATGGTGAAGCTGAAGATGCTTGACCAAACTTTCGCTGTCTGGCAAGTGGAGAACAATGATGAGATGCGTCTTGCTCAGCATTCTGAGAATGTTTTGAAAAGCTGTGTTTAGGACTGGAGCTCACTAAACTTGGTGAGCTTTCTTGTACCACAGAATGGGATGGTGGAGAATCACTGGTGGATGTAATGTGGGTATTTGGTAATACAAATTCATATTTATTTTGATCAACAGAATGTTGGCAGATTTCACAGGAAGGTTTGTATGACTGGAGGTGGGAATCATGTGAAGAAGGGTTAGGGATCTCATCAGAAGGATGGTGGGAAGATACACTAAGGGGAGTGCCTGGTCGGGATGCTGTCATAATTACATCCCACATTCCACGCATAGCATGAATTGCAGCTTCAGCACTGGAACTACGAAAAGTTCGCTTCTGTGGTGTTTCATCATGTGTGGCTCCATCTGAATGCATGGGGGATAAAGCCAATACATCTTTGGTTGGAAGTTGCCATACCTGATGTTGTCTTTCACATGGAGGAGCATGCAGCATTGGCATCATGCAATTTTTATCTAATCTACACATACTGTCTGCATGCCAGATGTTATATCCAGTCATGCCAATACTAGGACTACACAGATGCGAAAAACGAGGGCTGCTTCCAGCAAAACGAGGGCTTGGGGGCAAAGTGAGGTAAGTAACTCCACCTCGAGAAAGTAAGAATGAAGAAGAGGTAGGGGTGGCCTGAGAAGCTCCACCTCGAGGTGAGCGAGGAGGAACTGGAGGCGGCACACGACCACGGCCAGAGTGAGGTCGGTCTTGAAGAACAGCTGGAAGATTGACTGGTGTGGAAGGTGTTCCTGATCCTAAGAGAGAGGCAGCAGTGGAGCCTCCCCCTCCTGCTGCTGCTCCTGAGATACCACCACTTGAGACTGCCCCAGCCACTGCAGATGGGGTTGTGACCGTAGTAGTGACCCCCGAGCCTCCTGTAGCCATGGATAAGGAGATAGCGACCTCACCACTCTCACCCGGCCGGTCCTCAGCACTAACACTGCCACCTGCAAGCACCACGCACCACACCTATCACACACCCACCTGCTCATGCCTACTATTCACTACACACCCCATAACCAAGAAATAAGGAAAAGGATAGTTTTAAACAAAGTACTGTATATATATTCCAAAATGGGTAAAAATACTCTAAAAAGATTTCCATTAAACAAAGTAAGATGATATGGTTAGCCTTATAATTTCTGTGGAGAGCCCCTTCAGCTCCCCGGAGCTATACCGGGCTGATGTGTATATATTAGACCGTGGCAACAGTCAATCGAAGGAGTTCTAGGCCTACTGAGGACCAGAGCCAGAACCTGGCCCCCCCTCAAGAGTGGCATGAGAAGCAATGGCTTAAAGACACCCCCGTGTAATTGGAAGCAGTCTTTGTCTGCCATCTACCAGGTCAGGCACCCAGAAAGGTAGGAATTCCAAAACAAACTACTGATGATTAAATAATTGCAATCCGAAAGCCGAACTAGCAACAGAACTCTCCAATCAAAACCAAGGAAACCAGTATGACGTCACCACAAACACCGCGCATCCGTCTGCGCAACCCCCCCCTCCCCGGGAGGGGGACGGAGGGGTCCCAGACCTCCGCGCCGGCAACTCTCCTCAGTTCACAGGCTGTTGTGAGGGTGAACGGTCGATCGACTCTGGCTCCATCCTTTGAGCAGTGCTGCAGTGCAGTGTTCCGTTTTGGTATTGTGCGAGCCAGGAGTAACACAAGAGTACTGGGGCTGCATGCACTTAGGGCTGCCTTCCCTAGGTGCCCTGTAAGTACTGCCCTTGCAGCTTCAGGGTTATCTTCCCTGAGCCGTTCGGGAACTACCTCCGTGTGGTTCTGTTGCTGCTTGGTGATTGCCCGCCCTTGGGGTTCTGCTGGGGTGGCTCTTGCTCCTGTTTTCACTTGGGTAGGAGGTAGTTTCGCCGCTGGGAGGGGCGCGAGTTACTGTGCAGCTGTCTGATAAACGCATAGCGACCGGTTCTGTTCACCTGGAGATGATGTGCTTTTACGGGGCTTTTCTTTTGTTTTTGTTTTGTTTTGCCTGGCAGGGGTCTGCCTGGTGTGGCGGTAGGACCACTTGTAGGATTTTGGTGGCCCTCCACTAGGTCCCCATGCTTACACACGTTGCAGTGGTTCAGCTAATAGTTTGTTTGCTTGGTAGCTCTGGGATAACTGGTTAGCAGTACCTCGCCTGGGCTTCCCTTAGCAGTTAGCCTAAGGGCCCTGGAAACCCCCTTGGGGGCTCAGTGGTCCGATGGAAGAGACCCCAGAGTCCCACCTCGCCTTGTGCGAGTTTGAAGGTTGCTCTGTCCCCTTGACTCAGGGTGACACTCGCCGTCTTTGTCTCCGCCATGCTGCTTGTTGGGTCAATGACACCTTTGACCCGGAGTCCTGCGAGTGGTGTTCCTTGTTTGTACTCCAATTCACCCAGTCCACTGAGATTGTTATTAGGGTGCAAGCAGCTTCGGCATTGCATGCAAGGTTTAGGTTGCTGCAACGCGCAAGGTTGGTTGCCTTTCCGGATGCCCTGCAGCTGCCCCGCTTTGGTTATAGGGACCCGGACTTGGGGGTGTTAGTCTCCTCGACTTTGGTTTCATCTGCTCCCCCTAGTCCTTCCCCTGCTGTGGTTCATCCTGCTCCCCCCCCCCCCCCCCCCACCTGCTTCCGGCTCCCAAACATCTGAGGGTTTCAGAGTCTGGGCAGGGTTTGCCTGGTGGTGAGTCTCGGGCAGCTTTGGAGAATGCCTCCTTCTGGATCGGCGGCGGAGGCATTCGAGCCTGTTCCTCCTGCTGGAGCCCTTGGGCCGTGCCAGCGGGCCCCCTTCATCCCGGCTTTTCCGGCGGACTCTGCCTTTTCTCCAGAGGCAGAGGGTTTGGAGGACAGCTCGGCCCCTGGTCCTGACGTTGAGGTTCCCGGGGCTGGGGAGGAGTTGACTTGGGGTGCTTGGGCCCCGTTTGACTCCGCTTGGGTGTTGGTACCCTCGGCGCAGGGCTTGTTGTTACAGGGGGAGGAGTTTTCCTATCCCCCCTCCCTGTACGAGTTTGATATGGGTGCGACTCCTCCCCGGGTTCGGTTCCGGGTTCCCTTGGGTTCCTCGGTTCCCTCCTTCCAGAGGTTTTCGGCTTCCCGCATCACATCAAAGGTGGTGTGGGAAGCCCTTGCGGCTTACCTCTTGCGAGACCCGGATTACGCCTCAGTAATGGATCCTTCTTCTTTCGAGTTTGGCTCCTTGTTTTCCTTCTGGATGCACTACAAGGTGCCGGAGTCTTCCTGGCTAGCGGACTGCCCTTTCTTTTCGTTGGGGGCGTGGCACTCGTTCTGTCGGACCCATGCGCTTGAAAGGCAGGAAGTGACTACAGTTCTTCAGGTTTATCTAGGGGGCGAATTTAAGCACCTCAATGCTTGCTTGTTCGCCCCATACTTCCTCGTGATGTTGGTCAGATTCAGCTTCACGCGCAGGTTCCCTCCCTTTCGGCATCCCTGGTGGCCGAGAATTTGCGCGCCCGTGGGCATTTTGCTTCGGTCTTGCATTTCTCTTCTCTGCTGGTGCTGTCTTCGAACTGGCTCGGTGAGGATACGCAGGAACTGGGATCTGAGCCAATGTCCGGTGTGTTTGCTTTGGCAGCTCGGTCGTCGGCTGCCTTGTTGAAGTTGTTTGTGCCGATTCTGAGGGAGGCGGTGTCCCTGTTCTTTGCTTCTCGTCTCGCGTGCCGTCAGGCGGTGCTCGTCCACTCATTGGAATCGGCTTGGGTCCTGGCTCTTAAATTTTCATCACCTTTTTGTCCATTGCTGTTTGCAAAGTCTGTGGTGGTGCATTTTCTGCAAACGGCTTCATCTAGTTGCCGGCCTATGTCGGACTTGTTGGTTCTCTAGGGGGGGGGGGGGGGGGCACGTGGTGGTCCTGCCTGGAAGGGTCGTGCCAGGTCCCAGGGTGCCTTCAGTCGTCATAAGCCAGTAGTGCCAGATTCGGGGCCAGCACCTCCTCTGGAGCCGTCGGCATCTGGTCGGCCAGTGATCGCTCTGAGCGTCCGGGCTCTCGTAGGGGTCGTCCCCTTTCGCGGATCGCCCCGGGGCGATAGGGGGGAGGCTCGCGCTATTTGATCTCGTCTGGTCCCACGATTCATGAGCATTTTGGGTCGTTTCCTCTCCTGCAGTGGCGTTGGGTCGCTCCTCCTCCTTCAGGGGGGGGGGAGGGGCTGGTAGGGCAGGCCTCTTCTCCTGTGCTCTGTCAGGTCATCCGGGAGTGGGTTCAAAAACGACAACATCCCTCAGGTGGGTTTCACGACTGTATTCAGTTCCAAAACAGGACTGTGTGGATCTGCGATTCATATTGGACTTGTCTCGTCTGAATCCCTGGGTCTTTCAAATTACCACTCTGTCTCAGGTCCAGCTGCTTTTGGCACCGGGTGCCTGGGTGGTGTCTTTGAACTTCCAGGATGCGTATTGGCACATCCCAATTCATCCGGGGTTCAGGGACTGGCTCGCTTTTGTCGTGGGGCGACAAGCTTACCGCTTTCGTTGCCTTCCATTCGGCTTGAATCTGGCACCTCGAGTGTTCACACACCTTACCCGGGTCGTGGTGGCCCGTTTGCATCTGTTAGGGGTTTGGGTTCTGGCTTACCCTCGACGACAGGCTGGTGTGGGCTCCCAGCCAGTCTGCGTGTCTGCTCACCAGGGATTTGGTTCTTTCCCAGCTCGCCGGGTTAGGGTTCTTGGTGAACTGGAGCAAGTCCCATTTGGTTCCCTCTCAGGTTCGAACTTGGCTGGGTCTTGTGTGGGACTCTCGGACTGCTTCCTTGTCTCTCCCTCTTGCAACGCTGTTACGGCTGCGGTCCCGCCTCCGGCTGTTTTTGGAGGGCACCCGGGTCACACGTCGGTTGTTCGAGCAGCTGTGCGGGAGCCTGAACTTCGCCGTGCTGGTCTACCCATCGGGTCGGATCTGGCTTCGGCGGATGTTCTGGTTTCTTCGGGGTCGTCACTTCCGCCGCTCTCGCGATCGATGGGTTCGGATCCCGGGAGCCTTGCATCAGCTGCTGTGTTGCCAGCTTCCTCTGTGGGTTTTTTAGGGTTCTGTGCCGTGGAGCCTCCCCGAGCCCTCGCTCGATGTGTTCACAGATGCCCCATCTCTCAGCTGGGGTTTTGTTTTCAGTGCTCACCAGGCCGGCCAGGGTCGGTGGGGTTCGTCCTTCTGTCAAGCTCACAGCATGGCGAGGGAGTTCGCGGCTGTGTGGCATTCGCTTCAGAGGATTCGGGTCGCTCGCGGAGCAACAATCCGGCTCCATTCGGACTGCTCCCCGGTGGTTCATTGCTTGAACCGCGGGGGTTCAATGTGGTCCTTGGTTCTTTGGGGCTAGTCGCTTCGGGTGACGCGTCTGCTGAGTTCTTGGGGTTTGGCTCTCCTGGCGGTTCATGTTCAAGGGGTATCCAATGTCCTGGCGAACGGCCTGTCTCGGTTCATTCCCCTTTCCACGGAATGGACGGTCGACGCCGACTCGTTCAGTTGGCTCTGCCGGATGTACGGGCGCCCAGAGGTGGACCTCGTCGCATCGGCGTGGTCGAGGCGTCTTCCAGTTTATATGGCACCCTTCCCAGACTGCGAGGCCGTCAGGGTCAATGCCTTTCGGCTGGACTGGTCGAGGTGGAGTTACCTGTACCTCTTCCCACCGGTCCGGTTGTTGCTCCGGATCCTGGCTCGGTTGGAGACTTACCAGGGAAGAGTAGTCCTATTGGCTCCTTGATGGCCGGCCCAGCCCTGGTTTCAGGAGCTTCTTGCTCAATGTCCGAACTCCAGGGTCTTCCCGCGGCTCCACCTCTTTCAGTTGATTTGTCCAGTCCGGTAGGTGACTGGTTCGATCTTTTCCCCTCCACTCTTCACGTCTGGTCTTTTTGACACGGGTGTATCACCACTTGTATGGTGATCCGGTGGCTTCTTTGATGGTGTCCCATCTGTGAGTTTCATCTAGACGGCAGTATGAAATTTCCTGGTGGTTCTTTCAGCAT